AATTCATACATTAATCAAGACAAAACAATTACTTACTAGAGAAAAAAATGATCTCTCATGGACCACCACAAAATGCTGCTCATTAACCACCATGAGAGAGCACGACGAAAGGCAACGAGAGAGAGACACACACAGTGAGCGAGAGGGAGAGATGCAGGGAGCGAGAGAGAGAGAGATGTAAGGAGAGAGAGAGAGACACAGTGAGCAAGAAAGAGAGATGCACAGAGCAAGAGGGAGACGCAAGCAAGAGCAAGAGTGAGAGACTCGTGACCAACTAAGGAAAGAGGAAGAAAGAGTGTGACACTAAATAAAGAGAGTCGCGAAGGGAGGAAGAAGGAGGAAATAAAGAAAACAAATGAAGATGATGAACAAGAAAATGTTTAAGAATATACCTCATATAAAACATACAACGAAAATTATTAAACATCTATCATCGAGTAACTTATATTGTAACAACAAATTTTTAATAATTATCGTTATATATTTTATATGATGACAATTATTAAATAATCATGATTATATAATTGTTGTTATTTTTAAAAATACTACCACGACACTTTAATGATTATTTTAAAATAATTGTTGTCAAAAATATCATTTTCCAATTCTTCACTAGATATTATTGTACTTAAAAAAAGTTAAACAAAATATCAAATAGTTATTTTTCCTTTAGTATTTCTATTGTTAACTAACATTATCATTACTGTGAGTTTTAAGATACTTATTATAAAAATTTACAAACTCATCCAACACAATAATTATAATTAGAGGATATATAAATAAACTTACATTATCTTTCTACATATATTGTTCGTAGAGGGAACATTATCCATTTAGAGGACCTAAATGAGCTCTATGCAAGTTGACCATGGTGCGATGATGGTGGTTCTTCTACATCAAACAGAGAGAACAATGCCTTTGATTAGATTATTAGATTAATAATGTTTGATTATCTAATAAAAATAATTATAAATTTTATAATATTAAATCTGATACGTTGAATATTCTATAATACATATCCATAGCTCTTGGAAGTATTTTTCTGGTAGTGGTTGCGCTAGATTTGGCCCTTAACCTCCAAACACTTAAACTACAAGACATTTTTCAATTTTCACCCCCTAAATTATCCAATTTTATATTCTCAATAAACCAATAACTCTTCTACTAGTTAACGTCACCATCTGTTCATAAAAAATATTATGAAAACCAAGTTACGTTCCTTTATACATTTTTCTTGAGATGGAAATCATATTCCAATATTAGTATATAACTTCATTTTATACGTATTATTTGTATAAAACAAATATTATATTGAGATTTAAACGATATTTGAAAAAAAAAGTCAATATACGTGAATTAAATTCATAATATTCTTATTTATAGCCTATATGTTGTTTTAGAGTATTATTATTTATAGTATTGATAAGATATTAATTATCGTTTTCTAGTTTATATTTTTTGATTAAATGATGCCATATTAAATAATAATGTAATTAATGAAATATTTAATCTTATCTAAAAAAATGGATAAAATCCGGTAGTCATATATATTTAAGAGTGTCTTCTTTCCCTCACATTATTCCATCTATCAAAATCGAATCGAAGATTTTGTTTGAAAAAATTGAATTGAGTAGTACTGGAACCAACAACATGTTGGTACATGATAGATTAAATTTGTACGGAAAATAATTTATGATGTATTTTAATTTTTATTTTGTATTGGCACTATTTTATTTGATGGACATAGTTTTGGACATAAAAAAAATGGAAATTAAAGGCGGAATATCCTTCTGGTGCGAAATTCTTTATGAGAGGTTGCATGGAGGAGACAAGTTTGCATCGTGCAGTGAAGGAATGGATGGTCATGGATCAAACCTTCGTTTATTCTTTCTTTTCATTCATAAACTAATTATTCAAACTTAGCATCTTCTACATCCAAATCTAGCTCCATTATTCCCCATTTTATGTTCTTTCTTTTCAACTTGAGAACAACAAACCCTATTCTTAATTTCCTACATATCTCTCTCATATATATCAAATCTTATCAAATATGTTTTCATAGCTCATATTTTTTGTTACCACTTCCAACTTTTTTCTTAAAAAAGAAAATGCTTTCTAAAGTTTCTTGATTCTTGTCTTTTTATTTTAGCTTTTTAAATACTTTTTGGTTTATCTTTGTAACAAGGAGTTTATTTATTTTTAATACTTATTAAATATTATTCAAAGGGAATGAAAAAAATATTGTAAGAACTAGAACACAATGAAGAGATGAGAACAAACGAAATAATAAAGACCAAAATAAAAAAATACACTAATTATAAAAAAAAATTACTATTTATTTATATATCATAAAACATAACCCTTGCTGTGAGATGATATATACGCCTAAATAATAAAGACTTAAATACACGTTAAGTGTTTGCGTGAAAAGCTATACCACTATATCATGTTGTTGCCTTTTATTTATATTACTAAAGGGATTAATTTTAATATGTTCTTGAAAGAAACATCTCTCCACTATTAATTAAATTAGAATTATTTTAGATTCGATTTTGGGGTAGTTAGTATTTTGTTTTTCTGTGTATTATATAATATACATATTGCTTTTTATATAATTATATAATAAATAAGTATTTTTAATGCATAAATTAAATTTTAGATTTATACTTAACCGTTCAACCTTTTTAATAGGATATTTTAGCTGTCAATAATTCACGTTAAATTTAAATTAAAAAAATATATTAAAAGAGAAGTAGTTTGAGATAATCAAGTTTATACTATATTTCAATCTATTATTGTCATCTTTATTTTTAACTTAAATTTTAATAATTTTAAATTAAATTATTTATAATCAATGAATAAAATCAATCTTGTATAAAAATATAATTCGTTTACCATAAATTAAAAAATAGTTTAAACTTTCTTTTGAAGTTTTACAAACATTTATTTTGTGTATATAGATGTTCAATTATTTTAATAAGTTTATTTGATTATATTTTTTCAGTTATAATCTGAGATTTTGTTTAAAATATTTGTTGTGTCCCATTCTACTTTAGATATATTCTGTTTTAAACTATTATTTTACGTAAGAGTTAAAAATACCTCTATTGTCAACGGCCAAAAACTATCATTCATGTTTTATTGGTGAATAATTAGACAAGTGGATGATTATTATCGCTCATCAATAATACAAATTAAAATATTTGTTGAAAATAATTATTTGTATTTTTTAACTCAGTCAACAGTAACCATTATGCAGTTATTATTTAAAATAAGTAGTATTTTAACGGTGTATTATATACAATAAATATTTATTTTATAATTAAATATTCTAACAGATAAATATTTTGTAATATATAAAATTATGTTGTAAAAAAGTTATAGCAAAAACAAATATGGTTTATTCTCCTTTTAAAAACAAAATCACTTAAAGTTATTTTGTATGTTATATATATATATATATATATATATATATATATATATATATATATATATATATATATATATATATATATATATATACCAAATAAAGCATAGTGACTCCTCTTCGCCATTTTCTTCCTTCACTTGTGCTTTTCTTATGACCCTTTCTATACTTTTTAAAATTTCAAATTTATTTTCCTTCTCTCTTCTTAACCTCACGAGTACAGTGAACTTATTATTTGGATTACGCACTTTTTTTATATTATACAAATGATGCTAATTACATAAATTTAAAATGAATATTTCATAATATCTTTAACTGCTATGTTGAGATGATTATATATTTTGAAATATATAATCTAAAATATGTTTCACATTGTTTTGAATCATGTATCTCGAAACACTATCATTGTATTATTTGTTAAAAAAAATGCGTGGAAGTTTTTTTAACCTATTTCGAATAATATTTGTCAGGGATCGTGATAAGAATTTCAAAAGAATATCTGTATTCATCAAAGGGTGTAAGAAAACCCCATCCTCTCTTGTGCAGATTTGCCTTTACTTTTTTTTTTTTTTGGGTCTGTAGCCCCATTTTTATGCCAAAATCAAAAAGAAAAAAAAACGTGTTTCACATTTCTTATTCCAATTTGTATGCTTATTATAAATTTGCCACAGCTTCGAAATACTTTCTTTGAAAAGGTAATAGAATGTACTTTTAGTGTTTGAAATGAATTCGGTTAGTTTTGATTTAGCCACTTCAGACATGTTAACTAATTTGGTGTAATTTTTTAAAGATCAATCTATTTAAGAGAGTGTAATTTAATTTGTTTGATGTGAAGTTAGTAGAAATTTTATAAGATAATTTGTGAATTCACTTTAAGAGATTTTTAAAAATATATATATTTCCCTTAAGTCTAAATTACTTAGTTTTATGTTCATATTTATATCGTATTTCATCTCATTTTCATTATATATATATATATATATATATATATATATATATATATATATATAACAACTATTTCGAGAATATTAGAGAAAATGTGTTAAAATCTTACATTAAAATATAATAAAATTATAATATATAAATAAAATAAGAAATTATTATAAATCAATTTTATAAAATTAGATTAAAACCCTCTTTATTTCTAATATTAATTATTATAAATATAAAATATATTAGAATTACAATTGAAAATTCCTACTGTATCCAATCACTAAAACTTACTAAGTTTTATTTTTTAATATTATGATCAGAAAACAGTATATAAGTGAATAAAAAAGATTAGCTTGCTGTACGTTGGCATTAATTTAAAAAAAAAAAAATCAACACTTTAAAGGAAATATAAAATAATCATTTCCTAATAAAATCATTTTAGCTAAGAAATTAACTAAGAAATACCCTTAGTCACACCTAAAATACAATTATAAGTGTTTGTGCAAAAGGAAAGTTTTACACTTTCGAAGACTCAAAAAGTGTTGGCGGGTATATCACAAAGAAAATTTAAACAACTTTGAGAAAATAACACTCAAGTTTCTGCCTATGTATCTATTACGAGGATTGAAAATATGGTTCATTATTCAACAATTAACAAATTGTTTTTCGTTAACCCTTCACCAATAATGGGAAACTCTGGTGACAGCTGCCATTCACCGTCTACTAAGAATTTGATTTCATACCTACACGATAATTTTTGTTTGAGTTTGAAGAACACTCCAAGTTATAAGGTGAGTTCAAAAGCTTCAACAAGTTTAGAAAAATGTTACCTTCCTGGCCTGAGCAACAATGTTGTTGAAAATCTTGTGATAGAACCAGTATACTCCGGAGAAAGGTGCTCTCCTTGGCTCCAGCCATCAAAGGTTCCCATAACTTGCACGCTCTGATAAGTTCAAACAGGCAAGGCATTAGCAAATACGCTAAATTTCTGAAGCCACTCTATATCATAATGTTGCAAGGCTTCATGAAAACTACTTCTGTATCCTGAACATTAACAGCCAATACTTGCTGCTGAAAATCAAATTTGTAAAGATTAATGTACTTATTTTGACATTTGTACATGGGATTCATTTTCTAGAGAAATCAAATCTCAAGTTTGAGATAGCTTGGTAATATAATATGTACTACAGGCAAATAATATTTTGTGTGTTTAGTGACACCTTTTAGTGAGAATAGTAAGGGAGGGAGAGGGAACAGATAACTTTCGATGATTCAAGTTATAGTTGAGGTAACCTAATTATATTACGTTTTTAATACAAGCTACAGAAAGCTATAGAGATTAATGTAAGCAAAACACGGTTCCCACAATTCAATGTTTCAAACCGAATTCTCATTTAACATTTGGAAGTCTAATCTTGAATTTGTTTACCTCAGCCATACCAATCCAAAACACAGAAACCTCCTTTGATTGTGCCACTTCAACATCCTTTATTTGCTCCTTCAGTTGTTCATCTACAGCTATGTAGGCAAAAAACAACGCATTTGGGCAGATAAGGACACAAAAGAAGCCAAGTTGGCAAGAAATTGCTATAGTTTTATTAAGTATATTCTATACAAGCATCAACAAGTAGTTATCCAGAACTAGGAAGGACACTTGTGAATCCTTAGGGTTGACTCTAATCATAAGGGGTAATCAGAACAAAAAACATTATACCTTCTAATCTTGCAACAAGGTGAGAATGAATGTACTTTCCATTGATCTTCCTTGAACCTTCCGGAATACCACATTGAGCTATTTCATCTGCTAGTCTGGCCAAAGCCTAACCCCAAAGTAAAGCATACATTATATCTCAATATGATTCTTAACAGCTTTTTACGTTTGAACAATTCTACAATGCAACAAATGAATCCAGTGAGCAAGGCAACTATGAGGCATACTAAAATTAGCAATGCAAGCTTGCAGAGCTCAATAACTGATTGGGTAGAGAATTAAACTGCAATTAGTCCGTTGGATGACATTCTTTTACTCGTGATCATCTTTCTTTATATAATCTAGCTTTAATTATTAAATGTTCCATCAAATTAATTTAATTGTTGAAATAGTTTTATAATTTACAATCGGCATCTTTCAATATTATACATTAAGTTAATAGTTGAATATTATAGAAGCTTTAACAAAATTTTAAATCAATATACTCTATTTCATGCTTATCCACATACAGTACTAATAGCAAGCTTATTAACATATACATAATCATTGATAAGAACAGAAAATGATTAGATAGGATTGAAAAATGAATAAAATCTATAAAGATAATTTTCATAACACTGGTTTTCGAGAGTCTATCTCTCCACAATACAATTCTTTCCTAATTTCTTTCTGTGTCTTTCCTAAGTTCTTTCTGTGTCTTTCCTAATCTAGATTACTTCTATTTATATTGCTTCTAACAACCGTTCCCAATTGATACAACTTTTCCTAATGGTTATATCTCTATTCCAAGGGTTATGCCCCTTGATTTGCATCCCTTGACTTTATATCCCTTGGATGGGTTGTAACTGTTAGTTGTTTTGCATCCTTTGAGTGTTGTGTGCCTTACTTAGGGATGGCAAAACGGGCCAGCCCGCCCCGTTTTGGCCCGCCAAAAGCGGGGCGGGACGAGCTGGCCCGATATAGTCATGACGGGCTGTAGACCTTGGCCCGCCCCGCCAAGGGGCGGATCGACAGTCGTGGCTGACCCGCCATAATTTAGAAAAAATAATTTTTTTTTAAATATTTTTTTTAATAAATTTAATAATAAGATTATTATTTGTGTGTCAATAATTCAATATATATATATATATATATATATATATTATTTCAATTTAATAATATAAATCAATACATTATTTTAAGAAATTATAATTTAGAATCAATTTAATAATATAAATCAATACATTATTTTAAGAAATTATAATTTAGAATAATAATAAAATTTACATAATAATAAATAATAACAAATATATATATATATATATATATATAAATAACGTTAAACTTATAAAATTTATATTTTTTATATTGAAAAATTCAAATACCTATATCTTTTTTATTTGATAAAACTTCGTATTATTCTTGGTTGAGTAATTCTTATACCTTTAATTCAAGTAATAAGGATAAATATAATCAGTGCTTAGGATAAATAAGGAGAACAGGAGAGAATGTTATATGTCGGGAAGGAGAATATTTTTTGTGAGAATGAAACTTTTTTAATTCTCTTTTAAAAATTTTTAACTTTATATATTATCTTTATAATTAATTTTATTACAATAAAAAATTATTTTTTTATTAATTAGGCGGGCCGCGGGTTGGCCCGCCCCGTCCCGTCCCGCGGGTTGGCCCGACGGGTTGGCGGGCTTAGCGGACGGGCCAAAGCGGGCTGGTGGGCTGAAAACACCAACCCGCCGGGCCTAACCCGTTTTGCCATCCCTAGCCTTACTGTTGGTGATCTGAGATTGTTGCTTCTTTTGTTTGTTTCTTACATATGTATATCTAGGTGACAGGTGGTTTATTCTTATCAATACCCCCGCCTAAAAGACTCACCTTGTCCTCAAGGTGATGAGTTGGAAAAACCTCTTGTATTTTAGCCACCAATTCCCAACTATTTTCACTTGGAGAGAGATCCTACCATTAAATTAAGACTTCCGCGTTGCCAGGTTGTACTTCACGAATATCTAAAATAGAGTCTGGATAAACATGTAATTCTTGATTCTCAGATAACATAGGTGGTAAAGGTTGGGACGGGAAAGAATCACCAATAGTCTTCTTGAGGAGAGAGACATGAAACACTGGATGAATTTTCCTGGGAAATAGAAGATACAATTTGTAAGCAATAACACCCACTTTTTTTAACACCTGGAAAGGACCATAAAATCAAGGAGAGAGTTTTTCATTAATCCTTTTAGCTAAGGACCTTCTCCTATAAGGTTGCATCTTCAAGAACACCCAATCAAACACTGCATATTCTATATCAAGTCGATGTTTATTGACATTTGTTCTTATGACATTTTGGGATTTTAGCAAATTCTCTCTTAGAATAGCCAATAATTCATCTCGAACAATTGTAAGTTTGTTGACTTCTTCAAAACGGGAAGGAATGGTGGTTCCCTTAAGAATGTGAGGGGGGTCATGTCCATACAAACCTTTGAAAAGGGACATTTTGCTGGAAGCATTATAATTGGTTAAACTAGAATTTGGCCCCAAGAAGACAAGAAGACAAGAAACTCATTTCTTAGAAGAAACTTTCAAACATTGGTTGACCACTTCCATCTATCTATTAGTTTGGGGATGGTATGCTGAACTTCAACTGTGTAACTGCTACAAAGGGCTTTCTAGAAATTGATTAAAAAGGACTCTGATACCAAATTGATAAGAACAGAAAATAACTAGACAGGATTGAAAAATAAATAAAATCTATAAAGATAATTTTTAGATATTTTTATAACACAGGTTTTTGAGAGCTTGTCTCTCCACAATACAATTCTTTCCTAATTTCTTTTTATGTCTTTCCTAATCTAGATTACTTCTATTTATATTGCTTCTAACAATCGTTTCCAATTGATACAACTTTTCATAATGGTTATATCTCTATTCCAAGGTTATGCCCCTTGATTCGCATCTCTTGACCTTATATCCTTTAGATGAGTTGTAACTGATGGTTGTTTTGCATCCTTTGAGTGTTGTGTGCCTTGTTGGTGGTGGTCTAAAATTGTTGCTTCTTTTGTTTGTTTCCTGCGGGTGTATATCTTGGTGATAGGTGGTTTATTCTTATCAATCGTTGAACAATTCATATGCTAAAAATAGTATCCTAAGATAACAAGATTTATGTTTTCCATATCAACGACTTGGAGTTCTTCTTACAATGAAAAGAGTATTACATTATAGCAAGCACACGAAGGAAGAGTATTCATGAGGTGCAACTTCTATATAAAATGGGAACAGAAGAGATAAACTTCCATGAAAAGTACTATAAAAATGCATGAGTCAATATGAAAGGTTAAATATGAAAACTGTGGGCAAGCAAATATCAAACCAAGAAAAGTTGGCAATATAAAACAGCATAAACGGTGAGAAGGTACGTATAATATATTTAACCTGGATTTCAAGCTCCATGACAGCAAGTTCACTTTTGAATTTTACCAACGCATCCTCCTTTGCAACCAACTGTAGAGAAAAAGAAGTGGGTACAGGATGTCAGTGCAAGGTCCTTTTCCATTGATACATCTTCATTATATCTTCTGACTATGGCATCTACAAAAAACTAGGAAAATGAATCCCCCCAAAAATGGATCAGCACACGATCAAATTCGCTTAACCTATGAGCTCAATAACAAAAACCTATACTATGCTCAACTGGTGCTGCTGAAGGAAAAGACAGAAGAATGTCCAACAAGTCTAATCCAAACACACTCCATCATCATTTGTTGCACTTGTGTTTGGTGGCAACCAATATATCATGCAAAGATGATAACTTTTAGCAATCAAATTCGAAAGCAATTTTCAGCATTAACCACTCATTTTAACGGACTATTATAATTATGAAAAATGTCAAAGCCAGAAGAATTTATATATTCACCATTCCCTCCAATCAAGCCATCCAGTTGTACCACAGTGTCCTGTTTATCCATTTCTTTTATCAGTAACAAAAATATTATCTCCTATTGACTTTATACATACGAAGATGCTACATCCAGACTGAGTTGACAAAATCCATCCATGGTCCTATAATGACATCCAATGCATCTTGTTCTCAATGAATCATCTATAGGTTGGCAGAAATAAGATTTCCCAACTTCTTATACAAGAATGTGATCCAACTTTCACCATTTAGGCAATTAACATAAACTGCCAAAACGGGAAACATCACCATCATAAAGAAAATTGCAAATGGCAATGCAAAAGATATATATATATATATATATATATAGGCATGCATATGCAGAACCTGTCTTTTTAGGAACCGATTTTGCTGGTTGGCTTCACTAAGCTTCTTGGTGAGTTCTGCTCTCTGTGTGTCAGCAAGCAGTGCCATTATCTGATTAACAAGATTTGGAACAGAAGATTTAAGTATGACATATTAATCAAGTTGCATACACACGCACAAAAAGAAGGTATCTTCAACAAGTGTAATCCCCCAAGCCAAAAACATACTAACCATTTCTTAGAATATTAGATAATTTAACCTCAATAAAGTAAACACGTACTAAGCATGTAAGTTCACCGAATAAAACTATTCCCCCAAAATAATCAAAGTAAGTGAAAAAATACTACAAGTCACTGCCATTGCAGTCTCTTCAAAATAACTGCACAAAATAAAGGGTGTTTGATTAGTTTTTGGAACTTGGTGAAACCATTTCTTTGGGTTTGATTTCTGTTATTAAACAATAGATGTGAAACCTATTTAAATAATAAAATTTCATCGGAAAAAATCCACTTTAAAACTTGAAATAGTTTCTCTTTATAAGCATTCCTTGATCCTTACATTTGATTTGTCCAAGTCTATTTATTGTTCTGCATCCCCATGAAAGGTGGAGAATCAAATTTTGTTTACAGAATGATGTGATATAAGGCGGTGTTTCAGGATAAATAAAGACAGGCAATATAAATGATTCTAATTTCCAGAGAAAACAAAGGCAAAATAAATGCACAAAGAAAGTGACAACACAGTGAGTGAAGGAATTGATTCTGATTTTCAAGTCTGTTTATATTTCACTCTTTTTGACATGAGCAGAATGTACATCAATACTTCAAAAGCCATGCTAAAAATAATCTCAAAACAATGGCTCCGTCACTCTCAAAAATGAGAAAAATAACATAGTCACACAGTTAAGATGTATTTCTGATGGGAGTTTTTAGGATTTTTGTGTATGTGTATTTGTGATATATGAAATGGGTATATATCCCAATCATAAGTGTCTAACTCAAAATAATAACCTAATATCTTTTTATCTTTTTTCTTAAAAGATAATAAAAATCTCTTAATACCTAATTTAAAGAAAAGATAATAAAATAATATTTTCAATATTCCTGCTTACTTTGATATTTATTTATTTGAATTTGATATTCTTCCTTTTATTTTGCTTGGAATTTTTCCTTCTTTTTTATTTGTACTTCTTATCATTTTCTTTCTTATATGAGATCACATACATTCAACTTCCCTTTCTTCGTCAAAGTACCATTGACCCTACGATGGACATTGGAAACTGTTTCTTCATCTACATCTTTATTTTCCTCCTTAACATCAAGTTTCTTCAAAAAATATTAATCATGTTTTTTCTTTGATTTTTCTTTTATAATCTCGTTAGTAGTCAATTCTTATTTCATCAAATCTAAAGTGAAACATTTTTCTTTCATGTGAACTTTGAATATTTCCAAGATACTTGCATTTTTAATCACACAAAGTTTGTGTTCAAAAGACATCTTATTACTTTTTCTCAATAATTGACTAACACTTAACAAATTATGATTAATATCAGAAACATATAAAATATCAAAAATTAATTTGATATTGTTCTCCTACCTTTCACATCCATTTGTTCTTCATTACCAAATCTTACTTTAGAAATAACACATTCATTGAGTTCTTTAAAAAGTTTTTTATCATGAGTTATGTAGTTTGTACAACCATTATCACAAATACACATACACAAAAACCCTAAAAATCTCATAATACCTAATATTCCCAACAATTTCTTCAATATCAAGTGTTTGCAAAGTTAAGAACATGCTTGTAATTAAATGGAAGTTGTGGGATTTCAAAAAGGCATCTGTAAGTTGGATAAAAAATGTACCTGTTCACGGGTAAGTGGTTTTGCCAAAATCTCCTCTGAGTCTATAGATGGATTCTCATCTTCAACAGAATTATCTCCATATGATGCAGATTCCTGTAAACTAATCGGCATAGAATTCGCTCTACTGATAAAATGCCTTCTACGATAAACTGCAGTAAAAGCTTGACAGGAAGAGGCCAATCTGTGAAAGTCCCGTGTAGAACTCAGGGCAGCCACATTAAATGGAAGTTTCTTAGCGCTTTCCCATCCTAATGTTCTTGAAATATTTGAAAAGAACATTCCCTGTGTTTGAAGATGAGACCTACTCAAATTGTGAAAGAAAATATGGTCGTTAGTATCTCAACCTGAAACATGACAAAAATTTATTGTGTAGGCTTACCTTGCAATTCTTATTTCCATTATGAAGAGATTGTTATCTCCCCTATCAAAAAGGAAAAAAAAAAAAAAAAAAGAACATCAGGGGACCTGCTCAGGCGGATTGTTGAATCAACAGAGTAACTCTTCAAAACCAAAATGTCAGGATAAATTACCTGATGGGAAAATATGAAAAGCATTCTAAACAAGGTGTTTCTAATTAAGTTAAATGGTCAAGTTTCCACACTTATTATAAACCAAAAGTTAAAAAAGATTTATGCATGACAGGTTCAGGCTTCAAAAGTGTAGGGATGACAAGTGATACATCCCAAAATAATGTGATACCGCTTTCCATAATTATTTCCCCTTTCCTTTGGTGATGGACAAATAGAAACCAAGATTTTTCAGCTTGTAGTTATCAAATTATGTGAATTAAATTATATGGTTTTTGATTTCCAAAAGGATATCTTTGTTGAATATCACCAAATCGCCCAACCCAATTAAAAAATATATGAACTAATTACCTTCAAGAATTAAATTCAATGATTGCAAATAATTTAAATAATGATAGTGAAAACTAGGTTGTGGTGACAAGATTTATCCTCGGTATCAAGTTGCTCAGTTTCACATGTGTCAGGTATCAGCAATGTCCCAGTCCATCAACATAATAAATCTCCTTTTCCTTCATTGCACGGTCCATTGTTCATGAAGAGTTTATACTTAAATTGTCATGACTTTAGAACAGATCAGTCGTATTAATAAGACTTCCTAAGTGGCCGGAAACATCTTAAAACTCAGAGATTCCTCATCAATAAGACATAATATTGAAATCAAACTTCAAAAAGGGAAGCCATAAAAGTGACTTCTTTATTTCACTCATTGCTAACTGCTAACTACCACAGACACAACCCTTTGTAAAACATATCATCCTCAATCAACAGTGAACTCTAAATGGGAATGTCCAACACAAAAGCTTATCTCCAACAGGAAACTAGATTGACAAACTTCCCCCATGGAAGGAGCCCCTAGTGCCCTAACATAGAGATAATCTCAAACTCTTATGTGGCAAAATAATCCCCAGAAAGCAATTTACAGTATGACAAAGCACGAAAGTATGTGAGGCCCATCTAGCAAGTACAAGATGTTGCACTCTTTTTACAGTGCGCTTCCATACAATACCTTTTCAGACTATAGAACTCCAATCCAAAGTCTAATCCACAAAATTTTTACCATGGAACTCTACTGAAAACAAAAGTTCTTTTGTTCTTGAGAATTGAGTGAACGGGGAATTTAGAAGACAACACAAAGAATTGGGAAATTCTTGTCTTTCATGAATCATATTGTATACTGTGATGAGATGAGAACAACAACAGAACACAATAACATACTGCGGTGGGTGTGCCTTCTTAATAATAACCTACATCGTTTTGTCCAGAAAAGAAAAAAAGGTTATAAACAGAAACAAAAAATCAACAACAGTTAGTTGATAAGTGAAAGAAATTGCAATGTAATGTAAGCATTTACGCAGAGAGAGTGTGAAGTATTGGAGTAGATGGTCGAAACCCTTGTGTTCAGCAGTGAAGTTGGTTCAGATCACACCGCTACGGTTCATGTTTACTCTTCTTTCGAAGCTAATAGAGTTAGTGATTTTTGTAGCCAGGTTGGAAGTGACACCATTATTGTAGAACATGAAATTTAGAAGATGAATGCACCAATAATCAGCAAGTTGGGTTTTTTTCATCAATGAACGGTGGAGGATTCACCATGTGGTTTGGCTTCTTCTCGTTTATAAAAGATCGTACTTTTAGTTTGGTTGTATCATCTTCTATTTGTAAAGCTGATTATTTACTCACCTTTTACAAGTAATATTATTCATTCTTTCTTATAAATAAACACGTGTTATTGACTATTAAATTTGTCATTAAAAGATTAAAGTAATCTTACAAAACATAAGGTTCGCTTTAGAGGAATTGCAATTCACTTTCAATGTTCTGAAACTTATAAAAAATTGTATATTATCAAAATAATTAATTAAAAATTATAATTCACAAAACATTAAATGTCAATTTTGAGAACTTGTATACAAAATAATTATTATAAAATAATTAAAGTTGATATTATAAACTTAAAATGAGTAACTCAATTCATATAGTTAATAAAAATATTTCTTGGTATCATGTAAACATTATATCACTAACAAAATGCTCAAACAATCAAAATGGAAGAAATTAATATATTACCAGCTATTAACATAGTACGGGCAACATCTACTTGCCTCGTTTCTTGTACATTATTGCATAACACGAGGAGATAATTCCAAAATTACAGCTTGGGAAACAACATCTCCCATTGATTTCACTAACTGCTACTAATTGCAACACCAAAACGATATTGAACAACTTTAAATTTGTGCGAAAGAGAAAGGATTGCAGAATATGAAGCACATGGTGTTGCTGGTTTATGAGGCTGCAAGTCTAAACTTTACAATATGCCAAGTCTTAAGAGCCATGTTTTGGACTGTGATCTAGAGATGCCTTGAACCAGGAATGTCAATCCAAGTCAACTGGAGCTCCACCTCCCCACACTCAACATTTCTTAGTCTAAGAACCATGTTTTGCACAACTTTGCCATCCTTCCAGACAATGTGACTCTCTTCGGCTAAGCAGTTTTGTCTGCTAGGCAACACTTTTGTAACTATAGTATTGTTGGGGAGACCTTCCAAGTGCATCTTCACTGCTTCGACGAATGGACCTATGACAAAGTCAGCATCCCCCATTTTGTCGTCCAAGCTGAATGTGTCCTTGTCATACACACGCTGTATCAGAAAATAGTAACATTATTGCTAGAATTTGCTGATATATTGAAGAATTCACATTTCCATGATCTTCCATATGCAAAGTAAGCAACAAACAAAGCTAAACATTGTTTCAGTGAAGCACACATATGTTATTGTTCACAGACCCCGAAGTTTAACATCTTTTATAATAATGTTTATATGGCTTAAATGTTCAGAGTACTATGTGGATTAACATGATTGCTTCAGATGGTCTAAGCAGCTTTCATATTTTTTGTACCCATATTTTGGTCAGTGGTATTGAAATTTGAAACACAGTCATTATGCGGAGAGTTACTTACTAGATGGATTGGAGCATGAGGGTCTGTAATAGACAAGGTCAACTCATCATTCCATTCAGGATTTAGATTCTTCTTGATCACCCGAGTCTTCAGCTTCTGCAGGGGAGACATTAAATGCAGCACTGAGTTGGATGTATAGACAACAATAAAAGCACAAGGTTTCATTACATAATAACTACTGTGTAGTTAGAAATTTAGGATACACTAATTACCCCTTACTACACATGAAGTTTTCACCATATCCATAATCAAGTGCTGAGTGCATAATCTAGTTCTAGTTTAAGGGAAAAAAAAAATCACAGAAAAGGCCACTTTCGGATGCAAACAGAGATTTTATTCTCAGTTTCTTTTATTAGAAAACTACTAGAGAAGATGGGCCAAAATTTGATTTAGCTAATAAAAAAACAGCTTAGACAAAGTTTATTATAATTTATGCGCCGACCATTCTTGAGTGTTACCTTTTAACTCAAAAGTAGCTTATTTGAAAATATTCCTTATCTTTGTTCATACAATTCTTTATTTGTTTTAATCTACCGATATTGGACTTGTTGGTTTGCCTTATCTTCCTCACTGACTGACTATACAGGCAAATTCAAAATTTTCAGATTTAGCTTCTCCTAATCGAAGGGTGTGAGACTGGAAGAGTATGAACTTTCAACTTGAATTAGCCCCGTTCTCTTAAAATAGTTGGCACCGCGGACTTACAGATATATTTATTATATATTCTTTTAATTGTTTAAAATACATCTTTTTCTCCGACAAAGTTCTAGAACCATCTATGATGGATACTGAGATGACATGAAAAATAAAACAGATATTCCACTTTTAGTCCAAGGAAGATGAACATCCATCAGAGTCGGAGCTATCAACAAAGGGGGAGGGGATCAGACAAAAAAGATGAAAGAAGAGACACATGACAAAGGGGGATTAAGAATAGAGAAGGGAAATCAAGGGAAAAATTAAAGTCAACAAGCTTCAGAAACATATCAAAGAACCAAAAGATGAAAGAAAGAGTGAGAAATTTGATAGTCAGAAAACTGACCTGCTTGCCCATTTTGATGACAACATAAGGGTCGCTGCTCACAACATCCCTGACAGCGAGATTGACACCTTTTTGAACATTAATTCTCAGCAGACCCAACAAGTTCTCCATGGCGAAATACGTGAGGAAATGAAGGAAAAATGAATTTTTGAAGACAGGTCGAATGGTTATAGGGTATCCCTAAGTCAAGACCAAGGTGGTTGCAGCTATTTATAATCTATGAACTACGAAGTTCTCTTCTCTTACTATTTATTATTATTATTATTTTATGACCAGTTCCCCTATACTGTCTAACTGCAACTCGACCGTTTCTTTATCTTTTCTCAGTTCTCATCTCCTAGGATCCATACCCATAGTATTGTTTTGTTTTGTTTTTCCGCAAATGTCACAATAGTTTCACTTTCAACATTTAATTTAATAATTTTAAAATCCCAATAATTAAATAATTTCTTTGATAATCTTCATGAGATATATTCAATGGAAGATTATTAAGAAAAATTATTAATACAAATATTATTTTAGTATAGACTTTGCTTATATTTTTTAAAATTGAAGAAGATATTTTATATAAATTATATTTTGAAAATTTTCCATCAAAATTAATAAAAAAGTTCTTAAAACCTTTCCTTGAAAATGGTCTTAGATTAATATTATTTGATACAAATTTATCTAAATTAAAATAAATAAAGGAATAGGTCTCTGGTCAACATAAAAAATTAATATTGTTCATTAATTGTATTCTGTCAACATAAAAAAAATTAACATTGTTAATTAATTATAAATTATTGTTGCCATAATTTATAAAATAGTCATTATTAAAAACAACACATTTCCCATTTAATTTGTGATTGAAATGAATAAGACACTGAAACAGTTTTATAATAGCGTTGATACATTCATTACTTTTATTAATAATACTTATTTAACTATGCTTAAAATAGAGATAAAAATTAATAGTAGTTTTAAACTTGGCAAAAAAACGTAAAATTATAAAACAGAATCCAAATGTTATTACAATATGGGGCAAGAGTTCGCTCATTTACTAATTTTCTTTTGCTAATACAACCTCCTTCTCTTTTTTACTTAAACTAAATAGTTGAACAATTTGATTCGAGTTTGCATACCTGTTTTTGCAATTTTTCCCTTTTTAAATCATAGCATGTCACGTGAATTTATTGGTATCGTTTACTCTTCAAATGACACCAACGAGTAAGAGAAAGCCCAATGTTAGGTGTAATATTAATGCAAAGAAATTTTTGGGTTGGGAATGTGGATTAGGTTATATAGTACTCTCACAAATTTTATTAGAATACTAATAGCTAAAACAACCACGTTAAGAGAAAACACAAACGAGGTTAATAGAGTACGGTTCTTACTTTGTTTTGAATTTTCATTCCATTTTTTTGTCTTTATTTTATTTTTATTTTTTTACGACTTTATTCATCGAATCGAGTAATCACGTAGGATGAATATACAGATAAAAAGTTGCTGGAATAACACATTGAAATAATCTAAATTGTTATTTTCTAAGGAATTGATGGCATAAATGATACACATTCCATATCAAATTGGCTAGCCATTGGATAGGACCACATAGTCTTAATTGATAATAGCTGTCACTTAATGTGACCGATTTAGCTTTTTCCAATTTTGGGGGCTATGGCCTGATATATCCCCCTTCTCATTTAGTTTTTTTTTTTTTGGAAAAAATGAAAAATGTAAAAAACAAAGGTGATAAATAAATAAAATGCAGGATTGTTTAGTTAAGATAAAATGGAGTAGGAAATGAGAAAAATAAATAAAAAATATATAAATGTGTATGAATTTTGTTTAACAGAAAAGAAAGGAAAGTAATATTTTGTGTGACTTTATTTTTTTCATTATAGGTAAAAATTCATTAGCTACGGTTTCTTGTGGTAAAGAGTAAAGAGGGAAAAGTGTTATTTTCTTCACGGGAAGTCACTATCGTGTCTCACATGTTTCTTTTCATATTTCTTAATCAAACCAACGAATTATACTTATCCTTTTAAAAATAAATAAATAAATAAATAAAATCATACACCTTTTAATTTTATAAACACAAAGACTTACTCCTTGTTTGAAATGTGGATTCACTACGTGAAGATTTAGAGATTTAATGAACAATTTTTTGTTTGTGTAAATAGAAGGAAAAGTTGGTGAGTCCAGTTATTATATATTTTACCTTCCTGTCTAAGATATAAAGCAATATTTACCTTCTTATCTGAGATATAAATTAAAGAAAGCCAACTACTAGATATATTAATATTATCTCACTTACTATTCTATAAAATTAATACTTAATTTAAAAGAAATTTAAAATATATAAATTTAAAATTACATAAAGTCATAACTATTAATTAATATTTTTAAAATTACATAATTTTATGTGATACATTTTATATTAATTACATTAAAAAAATAACATAATCAACATACTTTGAAAGTTAAAATTATTTTATCGTTTTTAAAAATAAATTGAAAAATATATAATATAATTATTATTTTATACGTTAACTAATATATATATTTTCTTTTAAATCAATATGTCTTTTAAATATAAAATCGTTATAAAATAGATATATTTTAAACATACAAATTAACTTGATAATTTTATTTTAATCATATAAGGTTGAAACATTTTTATTTAAAATAATTTTTCTTTTCTAAATCTTTATTAACATCATTATCATTTAATATAAATTTATTAAATTAATTTTTTAATATATTTAATAATTCAAAATTTATAAAATCATATACAAAATAATTACACTATACTTTTTTATATATTTCTAAAATTTTAATATTATTTATAAATTATTAAAAATAATATATATATATATATATATATATATATAATAACACAATTTTTTTTATAATTTGCATATAAATTAATTATGGTTTATGTAATTTTTAATCTATTTTTATGTAAATTTTTAGATTTAGTCATAATATAAAACAGTTAGTTTTTGTAAGTCACTTAGTTTGATTTGAGTTCCAGGGCATAAATAACGAATTCGAGTCTACAAAAATAGAAGTATTAATTTTTTATTTCTGTGTGTGTGTGTTTTTTTTTTAAGTTTAATGCGGCTTAAACAGTATTATGTAATCGCTATTATTGGGTAACACGTTTAAAACAAAAACTTAACACACACATATATGTTAAAGCTAAACCAAATTTAAAAGGTTTTACCTAAATTGTAACACATTTTATATCAATCATAATTTTTTGATGAAGCAAGATAAATTTTCTAATCATCTAATAATGTTCAAATGGAGTATTAATTCCATCTCTATCTTCTCAATAGTTCAGTAACTTGTCCCCTAAGTTTTTTAAAGTAAATATTATGAGAAAAAACTAAACGTGTTTTTGGTATTTGGCAAAATGGGTTGAATGAAAGGTATAAGTTTGGAAAAGGAAAAAAAAAAAAAAACTTTTTAAAGCTGAAATCAATTTATGAGGATTAAACATTGCGTGTTTTCTTGCACTACCGTTTGGCAGAGACAATCTTCCCAAAAAGAAAAAAAAAACGCACAGGGAAAACATAAAGTAAAGAGCATGCATTCTGTTACATCTCGACTATAAAACTTGACATAATTATTAATAAATATAATCATAAAAGAAATATTATATAAACTAGTCTTCTATTATTATTCAATATTGTAAACTATTATATATGCTAATTTTATTAATTTTTACGAAATATAATTAAAAACTATACAGTTTATAATTGAATGATAATATACAACACTGTCAATACATAAACATTAAACAAAATAATTGTAGAAACTGAAAGAAGAAGAAATAATTTAAATAAATTATCAACATATAATAAAATCATGGATCTTTATAATAATTATAGTACAGAGTTATTTTGCTTGTAGTAAAATTAATCTTTATAATAATTAATTTTAAAGTTATTTTAAATATATTTTAATTAATTAATACTCATGTAAAATTATGTATATTTTAAAAATTTTAAAATAAAGTTTTATAGTTAATAATTTGTGATTTAAGGACAATAATATGATGGTATGATTTTTATGCTCAAATTAATGTTACTTTTACAATCCTCTGTTACTATCACAACTTATAAATTTAATCTTAGTTGATGTTTTCATCTCGAAATTAAAATTATAAATTTTCTAATCTTCATTTATTTATTTTTTAAGTTACGTTCATTAGTCACTCAATACACAGAGACCGCTAATTATGTTCCTCTAATTTACAAATTGTTAAATTTAGTCTATGTTATTGTTTGCTAAGTTTAAGAGATATGATAAAAATTGATAAATATTTCTATTTAATAAAAATAATAATAATAATTATTGTTATAAATATCCAAATACCAAAAATACATGTGATAAACATTAAAATGACTATACTTGCGAATGTGATTAGTAAATACTTTGATTAAACTAAAGTAAAAGAGGAGTAATAATATATGTCTTTTATTTATTTATTTTATTCTTCATATTAGATTTGACTGCAAACTATTTTTTTCACTTAATTCCTAACACATGAATTTCACATTTCCTTTCAAAACACGTAATTCTCAACCTTCCTCCATGCAGTTGAATAAAGTCAACTGCAATACACTCCCTCACACTTTTTTTTTTTTTTTTTTTTTTTTTTAACGGTTTAATTGTAATTAAAGATAAACTACTCTCCCATTTTTATTATAAGATAGAATTTTGAAAAAAAAATTGTTATAAAGTATTTTACAATTTCAATAAAATATTTTTTATAGGTTCTTACTAAAATTAATTGGTTTAATGATATTAAAAATTGTACAAAATTTAATAAAATTAGATTAATTAATTATTTTTATTAATATGTTTGATTTTGTGAAAAATATATTATAAAGAAATTGGAAAGAGTATTTATTATTTTCTTTACGCACGATAAATTATTTTAATTGGAAACAGTATTATTTTTATTGATTGATAATTGATAATTACATGCCAATGTAAATTTATTTTGCCCGATAAATTATCTTTTCTTTACGCATCGAGATTGTATCATGTGTATGAAATTGAGAATCATCATATGATAAACCAAGTATTAAAATAACCTAAAATGTAAAATAATGTAAGTTTTTGAATTTTGAAATTTAACATAAAAAATGTGCTATATATTTACTAAGTGTGAAATATGTGCTGTAAATGGAATATCCATATTCATTTGAGATCCTTTATTATTGTCTTATTCGTTATTTTCATTGATAAATAATTTATATCAATATCATAAAGTGTATATAGTTAATAAGAATCCTGCATAGAAATAATAAATAAGGATACGTGTATATATATATATATATATAATACATTTGATAGAAAAGTAATATAATTTTTTTAATTTTTAAAATAAATAAAAATTTAAGTATTATATAATTAAAAAAATTATTTACATAATAATTAGGTTTTTATAAATAAAAAACTTTTAAAATAATTAAAATCTATTTTGATTACTAAATAAAATATATTAAATTATTTTATTTATTTGTATAATAATTCTAATATTTATCATACTTTATTAAAATAATATAATTAAAAATTAACATATACATAAATTAAAATTATATATATATATATATATATATATATATATATATATATATATATATAAAGAGTGGGTAACTCATTATTTAAAAGATAATAATTTATTTTTATTTTCATATATGAGTTGAAAAAAAAATGTCAGTTTCCTTCGTCACTTTTTTTATCGGAAAAAATTATTTTTTTCTTCTTCATTATACGTATTTATGTTTCCCTACAAATAAAGATTTTTTTAAAATTTAAGATTAAAAAATATATTTAAATTTAAGAAAGTATTTAAGAGTGAGTTCCTATAAAAGTTTGTTATTGTATTTTCATCTAGTTAAAAATAATAATAATATTTTGATATAAAAATCAATATAAAACTTTCATACTAAAATTATATTTATATTAACCGTTTTTTTTTTGAAATTGCAACGTGTGTTTGACAAGTTGGTTAACGAACTTTCAAATCACAACTTAAGTCCATGTGATCTTCGCATTTTGACTGTTCTTAGCTAGTTAGGTACGCAACGGAACTGTGTTTAATGGCTTTGTATTTATATGTTATATTTTTGTATACAAATAAAATTGTGAGAAAAAACATAGAATGCAGCAATTAAAAATTACAATATAATAATATAAAGAATTTTACAATAAGAACTAAATTAATTAACTGCAGTTATAATACACACAAATTTAACAGGATGAAGTAGTAAATCTAAAGCTATAAGTTTAGTTATAAATGTTTAAAATGTAACTGTTTTGTAGAAAACACTACCTTTAAATTATATGAAGTATGTACTAAAAAACCACTATTTTTTTTGCCGTAGTAATTTTCTATTAAATAAACAAATAAGTATCTTTAATTTGAGGAAGAAAACTTAAAAGAAAAAACGAAAACTATTTTGATGATATGAAAAATGAGGAGAAAAATGATTTGTGTCTTCGCGTTGAACAATTTTGGCGTCCACATATGTTCCAGGAATGTTTCTCCATGTTACGTGATGTGGGAGATGAATAAAAAAATAGGTGGAGTTGGTCCAAGCCGACGGCTGATGAACTGCTCTCCATACATTATCTATCTATTCATAAATTTGCTCAGTATGAATAGCAGGCCAAATTGTTCATAGTGGGGCCTTGGTTTGAAGATCAGTCTTTCTACATTCAATTTGGTCACACACAAATTCTTGGAATCTTCTTCAAATGACCAAAATTATGCCATCACACGCGGAATATGAAACCTTCCTTACACACTCAAACATAACGAGTGGTCATTCATTTGTTGCTGCTTTTTTATTCTAATATTTACATTTCTTCACAATACTTTAACTACTCTTGTCCCTTCAATAATGTAGTTTTGTTGGATACATTGTAGTTGGGCTCCTATGCATACCACTTTGGTATTAGGCCAATGGTGATGTAACTTAAGCGCCCGTTGATTTCTCACCCCCACCTTTTTACAAAATCATGTCGGATATAACGATTTACGTGTTATTTACAAAATACTCTTAATATGTGTCAACACAATTTTGTGATTGGAAGGATAAAAAAAGCAATAAACATAGACGGCAAACAAGTATTAGTCGAAGTCTCCTATATTGATATTAAAATTTTATATTGAGAGTAATATATATATATATATATATATATATATATATATATATATATTTGTAAACATCAAATACATTAAAGAAAAAAATGAAAAATACTAAAAAAAAAGGTAGAAGAACTTTTTTTTTTCTCTTGTCCACTGTTTCCGTTGCTTCCTCAGTTGTTGCACCACCCTTCCAGCCATCCTGCCAACCACTAATACACCCTGCATTTCACCACCCTTAGCCACCAACACACCCTGCCAGCATCTTGACCCTGCAATGCTTCAACCATCCTGCATGTTGATTTCTCTATAAATTGTAAGATAACCTCAACAAAAAAGGGAGAAAACTACCAGAAAAGCATGTCATCTTGGATGTTGGTTTATCTATAAATCGTAAGATAACTTCAACAAAAAAGAGGAAGCTACAAGAAAACAATAACAATAACAGAAGAGCACCCACTAATACAAATTACAAACAGAATAGCACCCACCATAAAAAATTACAAAAAGATCATCACACCCCCACCATTAGAAATGGGAAATAGAATACCACCCACATCCATCATCACGTAACCCACACCCACTATCACAATCACATTCACAACAATATAATCGTAAACAAAACACCACCCACATCCATCATCACCAAACCCACACCCACCATCACAATCACAATCACAACAATATAACAATATAGTCAACACAGCAGTCAACATTGCAATACAACAATAATATAGTCAATACAGCAATGCAGTAAATACAACGATATCACACAAAATTGAGGTTTACTTCTCAATCAATACAACACCTCCATTATTAATTACTTCTCTATACTTGTTAACATCTCCATTGTTAATTGATTCTCTGTGCTTGTTGTCATCTCCATTGTTAATTGATTCTCTATGCTTATTATCATCTCCATTGTTACTTCTCTATGCTTGTTGTCATCTCCATTGTTAATTGATTCTCAATGCTTGTTGTCATCTTCATTGTTAATTGATTCTCAATGCTTATTGTCATCTCCATTGATACTTGTCTATTTGTCTATGCTTGTTGTCATTGTTAATTGATTCTCTATGCTTGTTGTCATTTCCATTGTTAATTGATTCTCTATGCTGGTTGTCGTCTCTATTGTTAATTGATTCTCTATACTTGTTGTCATCTCCATTGTTAATGGATTCTCTAAGTATATCTCCATTGTTAATGAATTCTCTGTACTCGTTGCCATCTATGATGTTAATTGATGACTTGTATTTGTTGTAAGTTGCCTTTGATGTATGAAACTCTAACGAGTATACATTTTAAATAAGAAATTAAAAACAAATAAAATATACTTATTTTTATCATCTGACCGACAACCACTGCACCTAATCTTCACTCGTCAATCTTCACTCATCTCTCCATTCATAGCTCCATCTGTCTCTCCACTCATAACCGCACCTCCATCCTCACGTCTCTCCACTCACAACCGCACCGCCATCTCACCCTCATCCTCATTCACCATCACCCGTCTTCATCTCCATTTCTCCTACACCTAACCCTCACTCCCGCTGCCACCATCGCCGCGTGATCCACCACATTCCCAAACGACCACCACCGCTAGGCCATAAAACCTAGTTGTGGTCCACCCCATAACCACTCCTCTCCATCTCACCTCCCCTGCACCCTCACCTCCTCGCCACAAGCCAAAACCACCGTAGCTTCAACACTAACCTCCACCTCTGTGATCCCTAAAGTCACCGCGACCTGCTCAACTTCGACCACCCTAGTCACGCCCCTTCCTTAGTCCTACCCTAAAAACTTCATCTCCCCTCACCATCAAAACCCTAACCATGCTATGAGTCGCACCAGAGCCACCACATCCTCCCTACTAACTATGTCGTCTCATCTCCCCGCGGCTCCCCCTATTAGTTTTAGGTCAAAACGAAGCTCAATTGGAATTAGGATGGCAAAACGGGTCTGCCCGTCCGTTTTGGCCGCCCCGCCTTTGACCCGCCAAAAGCGAGGCGGGGCAGGCTGGCCCGATATAGTCATGACGGGCTGTAGACCTTGGCTCGCCCCGCCAAAGGGCGGGTTGGCGGGCTGACCCGCCATAATTTAGAAAAAATATTTTTTTTAAATAATTTTTTTTAATAAATTTAATAATAAAATTATTATTTGTTTGTCAATAATTCAATATATATATATATATTATTTCAATTTAATAATATAAATCAATACATTATTTTAAGAAATTATAATTTAGAACAATAATAAAATTTACATAATATTAAATAATAATAAATATATATATATATATATATATATATATATATATATATATAAATAACGTTAAACTTATAAAATTTATATTTTTTATATTGAAAAATTCAAATACTTATATCTTTTTTATTTGATAAAACTTCATATTATTTTTGGTTGAGTAATTCTTACACCATTAATTCAAGTAATAAGGATAAAAATAATCGAGTGTTTAGGATAAACAAGGAGAACAGGAGAGAAGGTTATGTTTCGGGAAGGAGAATATTTTCCGTGAGAATAAAACTTTTTTAATTCTCTTTTTAAAATTTTTAACTTTATATATTATCTTTATAATTAATTTTATTACAATAAAAATTATTTTTTTATTAATTAGGCGGGCGCGGGCCGGCCCGCCCAGTCCCGCGGGTTGGCCCGACGGATTGGCGGGCTTGGCGGGGCGGGCCAAAGCGGGCTGGTGGGCTGAAAACACTAACCCACCCCGCCATATGACCTAGCCCGTTTTGCCATCCCTAATTGGAATATGACCCGAGAGACTGACAACATGGGCTTAATTAAAGGATGCGTGACCAAAATTTGAGGGGTGAAAATAACATAAAAGGTTTCCAATAATAATTTGAAGTATTTTTATTTTTATGAGTTATTGACTTTAATGGTTTTTTTAAACTAAACAACATAACAAAAAACAAGTTATAAATACTAATAAGTCGAAAAATTTATTATTATTATTATTATTAGTTTATCCAAATTTTGAATAGAAAATGATTATATATTTTTTTCTTTTTTTCCTTTTTTTTAAATGATTTAAATTAGTATATCATTATTAGTATATTGACAATTAAATTTCTCGAGTGATGCAATATTATTATTATTAGAGTAGTAAGAAAATATTCATAAAGGTTTAACTACTTTGGATGCACATCTAATTTGGTTACTATAAAATTATAATAATTACTCCAAATATACTTTTGACTTGATTATAACAAAATATTTTAAAAAATATATACATTTTAAATCCAAATAAAAATTACAAGTACGATAATTTAAACATTTAAATTACTTTGGATGCACTTCCGATTTAATTATTATTCAAATTATAAAAATGATAATCACCTTAGATGTACTTCTAATTTGATTATTACAGAGACACATTTAACTTAGCAACACAAATAGATAAATTAAAATAAATTATTCACAAATATTTGTAAGAAAGAACTACGTTACTCTGATTTTTCATTATACCCGGACATACGTAGGAGCGTGGAGATAATCTTTGTCGAGCCAAAAATATAAAAATATAATTTTTTAGCAACCTTTAATAAATATATAAATTTGAGGGATAAAATAGATAATTTTAAGATATTTAAATTTTTATGTATAATTAAAGGTAACTGTTTTAGAACGGATGTTATAGAGTGCTAATACCTTCCTTACACATAATCGACTCTCGAACTCAACCTTTATTTCGCAAACCACTTTCTTTTCTTTTTGAAGGTTTTTTCCAATATTTTCCTTAAAAAAATATTGGTGGCGATTCCATTATTTTCTTTCATTTAGAAACTTAATTTTGTCGTTTAGTTGCGATTTTGATTGTGACATATGGTGACTCCACTAGGGAAATACAGAGTCAAACCTATCATAATTAGAAAAAAATGGCCTAAAAATATTTTATTATTTGTTGCATCCCTCCTTCTTTAACTTTATATGTATGCATTTATTTTATCCTTACTTATATATTGTAAAATATCTCTACTTCAATAAAATCTTAGGATAAAAGACATGTTCCTATTGTGTACTTCTTGTTTGTTTTGCAAGTCGTAGTTTAGGACTAACCCTATCACACACTACACTCACATATGTTCACACACTTATGAGTGAGGTCCTATACCCAAGCCTGAGTGTAACCTAGGAAGTGAAAGACAATTAGTGGTGTCATTTTGGATGTACTTACAATCTGGTAATCATGAAAATTTTATCTAGAGCGTGACTCTTTCGTAAGTTCCTATATCTTATATGTACTTCCAATTTGTAGTCACAAACTGAATAAGTACTAAGCTCTAGAGACCAAGAAAACTTTAGATATTTGACTACCTTTGAAAAGACTCACTTGCTAGAAAAATCATTAGACTTATAAGATACATATTGTTACCTCTTAGGATACTATGAGACATCTTTATCCATAGCCACCACTCTTTCCTTTTCATTACTTTATCATGTTATGAACATAAAAATTTCTCAATAATTCTTTTCAATATCTTGTTTGCATGCATCATTTTACACTCATTCATTCTCATTTTTGCATTAAATAGGTGTATTGGAGAATAGTAAACATTAAAAATTGATTTAGAGTACTTGAAAATAAGACATGGGATCAAGTTGTGAGACAAAAGGGACAAGTTCTGTAAAAGTTAAGATGTCTGATGTTCAATTTTTACAACCCTATAGTAGTTTGGTGAAAAGGGTTAAGCGTGTAGTTTTCACGAAAAAATTTAGAAATATCTTGGATTTACTAGAGTTCAATGTGCAAGTAGAGGTCATATCAGCATTAACACAATTTTATGATCATCCCTTGAGGTGCTTTACATTCTGTGACTTCCAATTGGCACCCACGTTAGAAGAATATGAGGGGATTTTAGAGATATCGCTAAAAAATAGCAAACCTTACAACTACCAGGGACATCATCCTTCTATGAAGACAATGACATGTTTGTTAAGAGTTCAGGAGGAAGAGTTGGAAAAGAGAAAATTAAATATAAATGGAGTAGATAGGTTTCCAAGAAGTTATTTCGTGGAAAGGATGAAAACCTTATTCAAAGAGAATGATTGGATTGACTTTACTGGAGTTTTGACCCTCACTATCTATGGAATTGTTCTCTTTCCACATCTTGATGATTACATAGATTTTTCTGCTATAGATATGTTTTTGGCTTTCCAAAATAGAGGAGAAAATTCAGTATCAGCTGTCCTAGCATATACATATTATGCTCTCAATTTTTGTTATGAAAAGGGTAGAAAGAAGTTAGTTTGTTGTTTACCACTACTCTATGTGTGACTCACCATCCATGTGTTCTCTAACAAATGCAACTCACCATCCCCTATTGCAGATGTCAAATAGAGTTGTGTAAAAGATAAAACAAGTAAGGAGTGAGCACAATTTTTAGCAAATCTTGGCGAAAAGTCCATCTGTTGGTATCCAAGTTGTAACAAAGTGGATGAAATCATTTGCCTAATGTGCCACTTATGGGGACTAAAGGGTGCATTAATTATAATTCATTTTTGGTTATGAGACAATTAGGTTATCCTATGTTGAAACCTCCAACAGAAGAATCAATTACATCATTTGTGTGTGAGATAAATCAATTGAGTCCAGAAATGCTAAAAAAAGTGAATCATGCCCTTTCGTAGTTCTACCCTAATTGTTAAAGAAACCCAGGTGCAAACTCAGATAGACATAGAAGAGTTTGAAGAGTTAAAAGCAACATTCACAAAGTCCAAAGAAGAAAGAAAAAGATTGGAAAAAGAACTGATAGAGTCTCACCATAAGTTGAAGATAACACAAGATGAAATTCTCGAAGGAAAAGATGACTAGAAGAGGCAAATGATAAAGTAAAAGCTGAAGAAAAATGCAAGCTAAAAATTCAAGATTGTTTTAATGCAGCAAACATGGAACTAGGCTTAAGAAGGCAAGAGAGGAATAAAGCATTAACAAATTAAGAGCAATTAAAAGAAGAACTGAAGAATACTAAGATCACTGAAAAGAAGGTGAGGAAGTTATTGGAAAACCTCTAACAATAATTGGAAAGGGTGGTGGCTGAATATGAAAAATGGTTAGAGATTGAAAGATGACGCGAACAACAAGCAGAACAAACATCAATAGCTCATGAGAATGAATGAGAGAGGAAAAGCAAAAGACACAAGAACTGATCAGATGCATTGAAGGAAAAGAAATCTTCATCGAAGAACTCATGGCAGAAATTTTATTTTGGAAAGATGAACTTGCCAAATATACAAATAAGGATCATATTAAGGAGCTAAACAATGACAACATGTTTTGGAAGTATCATTATCTAAAGTTAGCATGGATGACCAACCAAACAATCATGGAGATCCCAAGAAATCTTAGGGAAGCTGACAGAGTGACAAATCCGCTCTTTACTCCTATTGAAGTCTTCTTGAATATTGTAAATAGTTGTTAGAAAAGTTGAAACATATAGTTGTAGT